TTTTACCCAGCCCTCCAACCCCATCGGTCTGCTCTCTGTGTCTATGAGTCTGCTTCTGTTTTGTCTGTTCATTTATTTTGTCCTTTGGATTCCACATGGAAGTAAAATCATACATGGTTTGTCTTTATTGGACTTACTTGACCTAGCATAATACCCTCTAGGTCCATCTATGCTACTGCAAATTGTAAGATGTTATTCTTATTTATGGCCAAATGACACTCACTGTGTCTGTGTATCACATCTTTATCCGATCACCTATTAATGGGCCTGTAGTTTGTTCTATTTTTGGAACTGGGCTGGTTAAAATCCTATTGGCCCATAAATCTTCCATGCTGCTATGATGATAAAAAAATCTCAGGCAAAACATGGAAACAGCTGAGCAGTGTCCCCTCCAAAGGAACATAAACAGGATACACTCACCAGCAGTTCCTTCCCCTGAAGGAAAAGTTCTCCAACACTCACAGAGCGGCCGGCGGGAGCCTGACCTACTGCCCTCCCTTCTGGAGAGGATGCGGCTCTTCCAGCAAGCAGGAAGGGCGGGGTCGTGGGAAATCCAGTCTAAAGGGCGAGGAAGCGGCAGGGAGGGGTGTCTCTGCACCCCAGGGTCAGAAATGTCTCTACCACTGTAACCTTTAGAAGCCCCTGCTCCATCTCCACATGCATTTCCTCTGTGTCTTCTTTAACTTGGCCGTTGCATGCTTTTATGATGGAGATGGACCTGTGGCCGGTGGCTCCCATGGGACAAAGTCCCATTTCTTAGTCTGGGGCCTAAGACCCTCGAGGATGCCCCAGTCCCTGCGGGGTGACCCAGGCCTCCCTTGCCTTAAGTCCACCGCACCCCAGCTGGGACACCTTTCCTTCCTTGGCATTCCCCACTGATCTGTGCCCCTTCTCTCACTGCTCCTGCACCCCTTTATGGCCGTGAACTTGGCATGTGTGCCTTTGCCACCAAGCACAGACCCCTTTAGGCAGGGCCTGCTCTAGGCAGTGAGGCTGCCCCACTGTGGGGTAGGTACCTGATCCCTGGATAACCAGACACACATTTGTCTCTGCATCTGAAAATTAGCCATTAAACATTTTTATTTGGGGTCGAGCAATTTTAAAGCACAAAGCACTCAAGAAGGGTCAGCATGTCAGCTAGCCAATCCTCTTCCTCTTTGGTGAGAGTGAGTGGGTGCTTGAAGTGTGGATGAGGTGTGACCCAACTGGAAGCATTTTACCGGCTAACCATCCTGAGGGCCAACTGCCCAGGACCCCACCTGGGCCCACTCAGGGCTGCTCTGCCCCAGCCGGCCCTCACCGGGAACTGGGGTGTTGGCGGGGGAATCCAGATCACCGAGGTCGAGCCTGGGGTGCTGAGCCAGCATTGTCGTTCGGCACCCCTGAGTCCTGGGGCACCTGCTCTGCTCCCACGAAGGGCTCCCACGACTCACCTGCACCTGGGGAGGAAGAGGCTCTTCCTACTGGTCTCTTGGTCCCGAGAAGCTGTGTGACCTCCAAAAACCACCGTCTTTCTGAGCCTCTGTTTCTGCGGGTCTGAAGGGAGGACGAGGCCGGCCACTGTGAGGGCTACTGAGAGGGTAAAGGGCATCCAGGTGCAGGAAGCTGGGTTTCACATGGGTGTGCCAGTTCCCTTTCCTTCTTCCAGCCTCCGTCCCTCCTCCCTCCTCTCACTCCCCTCCTCCTTTCTTCTTCTCTCACTCCCCTCATTCTTCCCCAGAGTTCTTGGAGCTTGGAGGTGTGGTTTGTGCTTAGTTATGCATAGGTTCCCCCTCTGCCCCCCAACATCCATTGCAGGCATGCTGCTCTAAGACTTCAGTGCACCGTCAGGAGATTTCAGACGAGGAAAGTGTGCTTCCTGGCCTGAGGGGAGGGGCACCATTTATTTGCACACTAGTGTGTACTGCGTGCCTGTGTGTGTGTGGTATGTGTGGTGTGTGTGCATGCATGCTCCTGTAGGAATGAGCACACGTCACTAAGTTGCTTTCCTGGCTGGCGTGCTGGCCTCACCTCTGCAGCAGCAGGGCCAGCGCCCTCCTGTGGCACTGGGACTGGTCAGCCCAGCCCTGTGGTGTCCACGGCACACTGCGTCTGCCACGGTGCGGCCCGGGACCCAGTTGGCTGGAGCTGGCTGTTATTCCTTAGGTTTTCTGGGACTAAGGGCAGGCCAGGGGATGAGGACCAGGGCAGGTGAGGGAGGAGGTGAGGGCACAGAGCCCGCCTCCTGGCCGGTGCTCAGCGGCAGCCAATGCAGAGGCTGCTGACCAGCAGAGGGAGGGAGAGTAGCCGGCGCTTCTCTTCCCTCACACGCACCTGCCAGGGCTCCGGGCTCCCCTCCCCCAGAGCCTCTGTGAAGCAGCCGCGCCTGCACGTGGGTTCCAGTGCACTAGGCGGTGACTGTGCTTACACCCTGAAGACGAGGCCACAGGCCCAATGTTCTTCAAACCAAAGACGCCACAGAGGAAGCAATGTTAGAAGTCGTCCAGTGCTTCCCAAACATGTTCTGGGAACTGTTGGTGCATGAAAGTGCAGTAGGAATTCTGGGAAGAAATAGGGTCTCTGGCCAAACCCATTTGGGGAAACTGTGTTCCCTTCCCTGCCCTCACACCTGGGTCACGGCACACACCGGGCACTGAACGTGTGGGCACTGAACGTGTGGGCACTGAATGTGTGGTCACTAAATGTGTGGGTACTGAATGTGTGGACACTAAACATGTGGGCACTGAACATGTGGGCACTGAACATGTGAACTGAAATATAGTGGCAACCATACTTTGGTAAAGACTGCTATTTGAATTTTAAACCTGCTAAGGCAATTTTCCTGTGCCTGGTACCATAACCTTTGGAGATTAACCACTGAGTTCTGCTTCTGCAAGATAGGGCCACATTCCAATGTCCAGCAGGATGTGACTGGGAACGCCCCTGCGGGCTGACCCCAGTTTTTAGAATATAGTCTTTAGGATTTAGAATTTAGAACAAAGGAAAATTCCTGTGGTTTGAACTGTTGCAGAGTTCCCGAGCGGTCGGACGGTGCAGGGGGAGAGTTTGGAGAGACTTGTTTTGTTCATTGCATGATGGGCTTGGGGAGGATGAGTTCAAATTCTAAGCAAGGTTACAGGCAGAACTTACTTTTTTTTATTTTTTATTAAAGAGCCAGCCCTATGTGCACTTAGTGGTTATCTCGATGCTGGCCTTGAAAACAATACAGTTCTATCCAATTGAAAAAGTGCACCTGGCATGGTATTGAGATTATGGGCATATTTGGTCTCTGGCCTACAAGGTCAGATGGCTGGGTTTATCTTCATCATTCTTCAAACGGGCTAAAGCAACATTTTATCTAGGAAGAACAGCAGAATATTCCAGACAACAGTTTGTTACAAAATAGGGGTTTTCCTTCTCAGAACCTTTAAAAAGAACTACCTGCCCCTGAAGCCCCGCAGTTGTGTGCAGTCCACCTGTGTGTGGTGCTCTTGCGGCTGTCCTGGCCAGATATTTCAATAAATCTTTGCCTGCTTTTTAAAATAAATCATCAGCCTCCGGTGGTCTTATTTTGAACCCAGGATTCAACCCCACAACATGAACACTGAGCATGTGGGCACTGAATGTGTGGGCACTGAACGTGTGGGCACTGAACATGTGGGCACTGAACGTGTGGGCATTAAACATGTGGGCACCGAACGTGTGGGCATTAAACATGTGGGCACTGAATGTGGGCACTAAACATGTGGGCACTGAACGTGTGGGCACTAAACGTGGGCACTGAACATCTGGGCACTGAACATGTGGGCACTGAAAGTGTGGACACTGAACATGTGGGCACTAAACATGTGGGCACTGAACGTGTGGCCATTAAATGTGTGGGCACTGAACGTGTGGGCACTGAACGTGTGGGCACTAAACATGTGGGCACTGAATGTGTGGTCGTTAAATGTGTGGGCACTGAACGTGTGGGCACTAAACGTGTGGGCACTGAATGTGTGGGCACTAAACGTGTGGGCACTGAATGTGTGGGCACCAAATGTGTGGGCACTGAATGTGTGGGCATTAAACATGCCGGCAGCTTCACTCGGCTCAATATGCCATTTCCCAAACCTGTGTGCCCGGGCATACCTTCTGTGTGGCCGTCTGGCACCCGATGCCATGGTGTTCTATGGGGCACAGTTTGGGACAGAGAACTAGCCAACCCTCCTGTCACAGCTGAGGCGGTGGAGGGCCAGGTTGCACCGGGGGCCAGGGTCCTCTCTTCTCTGCCTCTCCCCGACAGCCCTAGCTTCAGCTCCGTTTGTGGTGGCCGCTCCCCATTAGCTGCTGGGGAGAGTGCCTGGGACCTCAGCTGCCCTGGTGCCGCCCTCGGCCCCGGAGCTCCCGGTAGCCAGGGGGCAGTCTAAGGCGGAACTGTTGGGTTCAGGGTGACTGCCGAGCTGCTGGGGTCTCAGAGGGATTCCTGTGGGAGAGGGTGGTTAGGATTCACTTCCTTTCCCGTGCCCATTGTAAGCTATGATTGCTGTTCAGGAGCATTTAGAGGCGGTGCAAGGTGGCACTTTACTTAACTTGTCTGTACATATCACACCCGGCACCACGGGGGCCAGGACCCCGCACCCAGCACGTGGCATGTCTGTCACAGTCCTCAGCCCCTGGAGGGACAAGAACGGTGAGGCCAGAGGTCAAGCAAGCCGACCACGTTCCAGGGCCAGGAAAGGGGAGCGGGGCGCAAACCCAGGAGCTTGTGCTGGGAGGACGGTTCGCTCAGTGCTACACCGTGTTTCCTAGGCCCGCTGGGGCCCCTCAGGAAAGGATCAGGTGACTGGCCCCTCCCGCCTGTGGCCCAGGACCTGGGTCTGTGTGTGCTGGGGCTGCAGAGCAGCTGGGAGAGAGTGCCCAGCCCTGTGTACCCACTGGCACTCAGGCTCTGACAGAGGCACAGTCACGCAGTGAAAAGCCACCACGGGTGGCATCTCGCTTCCCCAGACAGTGATGCTCATGCTGTGTGACTCTGGAAGCTCAGGTACGTCTCAAATTTATTTCCTATCACTGAGAGGTGGATCAATGGGAGACAAAGGTGCTTCAGCTCAGTCACCTGCTGCTCCCCCAAATGCCAAGGACTGACATCGGATGCCATTGTCCCCGTTAGCACGGCCTGACTCTTCTCTCTTCCCCAGCCCCCACCCCACTCACACCCAGCAGGGATGTGCCCTGATGACAATGGCACTGCCCAGAGGACCCGAATGTCCCCTATAGACACAGGCTGGCATCTGGAGGTCCCCCCGGGAGGGGCCTCCCTGCTGGCTCTTCCCCTCCTCCCAGCGCCCCAGCCCAGGGTTCTCAGGGGCTGCTCGGTGGTCTGCTTGGAGGCACAGATGGCGGCGTGAGGTCCGGAGCAGGAGGAGGGTGGGGGAGGGGAGTGTGGTGCCTCAGATGAAGTACTCCTTTCTGCTGCTGTCCCCAGCGTCCTGCAGCGACGGGTCGCCCTGCAGGGCCGCGTCCGCGCTCTCAGCAAACTCAGTGCCCTTGTCCTCGTGCGTGCGGTACGTGCCCTTGTGCCGGTACGCGTAGTGCAGGATGAGCAGGAGCAGGCCCACCAGGAAGACGGCCACGGCGGTGATCACTCCTGCAGGGCGGACACAGCTGTTAGAGCAGCGCTGAGGTCCTGACACAGGGTCCGGGCAGGACCGAGCTGGCCGTTCCCGCCACTCTCCTCCCTGCCCTGTGCGCTCACCCCTCCCCTGTGCCCATCTGAGTTGCCCCTCTCTCCTCCCTCACCCGCCCCTTCTGAGCACTTTGCAGACCTGGGGGCATGGTTTGTAATTCGTGTAAAGCAACTCAGCGGGTTTGCCTGGAGCGGAGCGGTTCAGGGGATCAGAACTTTCCATTTTAAACCAGGGCTTCTGGGTCTGAGGCTTAGAGGCACTGAAACCGTGGAGCTGGCTGCCTGCCGTGCACCATGGGCGAGGGGTATGGCCAAGGGGATGGACCGTGTGGGCTGGGTCTCCGGGACACTTGGGGGAAGTGGGGTTTCAGTGCTCCAGGCCCCGCCCACATCCCCTGAGCCCCTGGGAGGTGGGATCTGGGAAGAGTCTGCAGGGAGCAGGGGCTGTCTAAGCAAAAGCCAGAAGGGGCGGGATCTTGGGGGACATGCAGGGTGTGGACCTCATTTGGAACCAGGAGGGGAGAGATGAGGTTTGAGGGCTGGTCAGCAGAGCCAGGTCACAGGGGGGCGCGAGGTGACTGGTGAGCAGGGCTATGGGGCTATGGGGCCCTGGGGCTATGAGTCAGGCTTTTGTTCCGAGGCCACAGAGCAAGCCTCTGCTTGGCCTCAGAGGCAGGTTCACCCGTGCATCTTGGATGTTAGAGGCTACGGGAGGTTTCCACCTGAGGAACAGCATCCTAACCGTTCTGCCGCTGCGGACAGCACTGCTGTGTGTGGTGCTGACAGTGCCGTCAGCGGAGCGGGAGGGCCGGGGCCAGAGGCTACTGGAACTGAGAGCAGTTCGAGGGCGGCCTTCCCGTCTGCCTACCTAGTCAACCACCTGAGCTGTTCCGAGCGGGAGATGGAGTGTCAGGAGGAAACAGCAGGCTGCCTCCCAAACCCAGGCCCTCCTGAGCGGTTTGGGGTCACAACCGTGCCCAGTGGGTCACCTTTTTAAGGATGGAGGGTCGGGGTGTGGACCCAGGACAGGAACCGGGGGAGATGAGGGCACAGAGAAGAGTTCGGGGAGCCCTGTCCACCAGCACCCCCCCTAGACTAGCTGTGTCCAGCCCCTGATCTCCGTGACTCCAGGGCCCTGTGAGCACCCTGCCACCATGCCCTCCTCTCCTCCTCGCCACTGGACACCAGTTGGACACTTTCTGATGGGCCAGGCTCTCCCAGCCCCCCCCGCAGAGCCCCAGGGAGAGGGAGAGCACTGGCCCAAACCCTCAGCCGGAGGGCCGGGGCCACTCACCTGCCATGATGGCTATGTCCATTTTAGTCCACGCCAAACTGGGCCCGGGCCCTGTGAACAGAACAGAGGAGCCCAAATTGAGAGAGGAAGGTCCCCCCACCAGCGGCGTCTCAGCCCAGCCGCACCCTCTGCCCACAGCTCTGTGAATGGCCGAGCGGACTGGAGACAGCATGTTGCACGGGCCTCTGGCCAGGGAGGCCCGGAGCCTGCTTGGCCACTGATGGGGCTGATCAGCACAGCAGGAGCCATTGAGCCAGACCCAGGGAGGGTACCTGTGTGTGAGGTTGTGTCTCTCACTGCAAGGGTGCCTGAGCCTGCCCATGCTCAGTGCTCATCTCAGGGCACGGAGGTTGGCCCCTGCTGAATTCGGCACTTCACCACCTCAGCTATTCTCACAATGAGGTCAAACCAGACCATCTGTGGAGTGTCCGCCCGTGGACAGCTCGCCTGCACCGGGGCCCTTGAGCTGCTTTCTGTTTGTATATAACGTGCTCCTCACTGCAGTCCCACGCACATGTGGTCCTATGAACCCATCTCCCAGGAAGGACACCGAGGCTCAGAAAGTGACCTGCCCATGCTTGCACAGTTCGTCCAGTGGCAGCCGGGACTGTGGCTCCAGCGGGCAGCCTGGGCGCAGGATCCTGGGGGAGGGGTCGCTGTTTCTCAGGTGCTGACAGAGAGCAGTGGTCAGGCCTGGCCCCAAGGACACAGGCTGACCCTTCCCTTGTGTTTCTACCCTCACCGCCCCCTGCAAATGGCTTTCCTTGGGCCTCAGGGCCGGTGGAGAAAGCACCCACTCCCCTTTCCCAGCCCCGGGTCCTGAGCCAGGGCGGAGGTTCTGCAGCGAGGGCCTGGGGGTGAGAGTGAGGAGGCCTCAGTGAAGAGGTGTGGGTGTCCTGGGGCGAAGACACCTACTAGCCTGGAAACCATGAAGGGAAACGCAGGGCTGTGGTGAGCCCCCGGAGAGTGCCCGCCATGACGGTGTCCAGGAAGGCTGTGGACGGCCACCTGTCCGAGGGGGTCTGGGAGGAAGGGCCCGCAGCTGGCGACGCCTGGGGGTCTGTGTGGCTCGGGAGGAGCACGGCTCTGAGGGGCCGGGCCGGGAAAGTCCTCCTGGGCTCTCACGGAGTTTCTCCTTCCTGCTCTTGATTTTGGCCTTGAAGTTCTTATGAAAGTGAAGTAGAAATCACTTGACATTTGAAGTTTATTAACTGGCTTTTCTTCTTGGTAGATAAAAGGTCAAGTTCATTTTCTTTTCTTGCATGGTTTGTTGTTAGCACGCTCGGAAAAGAGGTAGCATTCAAGCTGCAACTGGGGAAATCGGCCTCAGGCTATAATGGTCCCAAAGAGAGAGGCAAAAGGCTATCGTCCAGCCCGCCACCTCTCCCGGAACAAGCAGGGCTCACGTGCCCGCCCCAGGCTCTGGGACAGGGAGAGGATGTTCTGTCCTCAGGCAGCTATGACAGTGGAAGGGACCCAGCGTGTTTCTGTGGACGGCTGAACTGCCAGCACGCCCTCCCTGTGTGATAAGATGCCCAAGGATCTGACAGAGCTACCTGGGTTGCGGGGTCTCACCACCAGCCTGGGCTCAGCAGGCCCGGGCTCTGGGCAGTGAGGAGGCTCCCCATCGTGTGTGTCCGGTGTCCGGCGGCTTCTCAGCACCTTCTCCGCCCAGCAATGTGTGCCCATGGTCAGGAACAACCCTGCCTTCGGGAGCTCACTGTGAGGCAGACAGAGCACCGGATATCTGTGGGGAAGCTCAGAGGGGGGTTCTCCGATGTTCTCAGGAGAGGAAGGCTTCTCGGAGGAGGAGGTCCCAGGCTGCCTGCTGAGGGCTGGGGTCAGCAATGCCAGCAGGAGAGCCGGGAAGCCTGTTCAGAGGACGTGGAGGAGCCCTTAGGGGAGTGGTGGGCAGGGCTCTGGGCCTCACTGACGTGTGCCTGGTCACCTCTGTGGGGCTGGGCTCCAGGCCGGGCTGGCTGGGCGCTGGGGAGCTTACCCATGTGCACCTCCCGCACGGCCACCCACCCTCTGTTCTGTGAAAGCGTGTGCTGCTACCTGGTTTGCTGACTGAATTCACAGGGAGGGCCAGGGGAATTGGACCGCCTTGGGCAGTGTGTGCCTTCCAGTCTCAAGGTCAAATGCTTGTCCTCATCATCACTCTGTGTCACTTTGTAACCCACCTTCCGGTCTCCAGGACCGCCCCAGTGCTGTGCTACGCAATGCAATGCTGCTCTGACACCATGCAGAGCCCTCCCTGGCCGCCCCGTCTTCCCTGCCGCCATGCCTGCAGCTACTGTGCGAGCAGTACCGGTGTCTGGCAGGCTACCACCCACCCCACGCCGAGGCCGCGAGGCCAGGTGGCAGGAGACGTGCCTCTCCGCTCTGGGGCAGAGAGCATCCGGCGTGGGCAGTGGGGGAGGTGGGCACTCGGCACTGAGGAGTGGACTGTGGGCAGTGCCAGCGAGGGAACCTCTTCCCCGCCCGCACCTGGGCCCTGCTCAGGGGGTTTGCACATCAGGGCGTTTGTTCTGGGCATGGGGCTGGGGGAGGGGAACTGGAAAGAAAGGTGAGGATGTGTGGTCACAGCCCGAGTGTCAGGGTCCAGGTTTCTGCACCTACATCTCCCTGCTTTTGTCCTGAACATTTTTTGTTTTTTAAACTGAGCCTTATTTAAACACAGGGAGCAGACTGCCTCAGTTTAGCCACAGGGTCTAATAGGAAGTAAAGGAAGGAATGCTTGGTCTCCATTCTTGTCCAGAGTATGAAACAGTGGGGCCGGGCAACATTTGAAGCTTGTGCTGAACTACGGCTAAGGAAGAACAGATGAACGGATTTGCCTTAAATGCCCTGAGCGGCCTCCTCAGGTGGCACGAGCTCCACCTTCCCCAGCTCGAGGTGAATTACGTCTCTGGTGTCGGGAACTTCTCGGGCAAGTTACCTCCACTCTGGAGCCCCCTCTCCTCCTGTGCAAACAGAGAAAGAAGCCTCCAGCCTCGCAGGGTCCCCAAGGGCTAGCCCTGAAGGCACTGTGCTCCAACTTGGTGGCATCAAAATGGCCTGGAAACATGTGTGTGCGCGCACTAGTGTGTGTGAGTGTGTGCACGTGAGTGTGCGTGGGGTGTGTTTCCAGCCACAGTCAGCTGTTTGGATAAAGGTGCATAGGAGGAGAGAGATGCATTTGCTTATCCAAGCCTGGGACATAAGGAGAGAAGGAGAAATGGTTGAGTTCAACTACTCTCTCTCTCTCTCTCTCTCTCTCTCTCTCTCTCTCTCACACACACACACACACCCACACACACACACACTGGGGACATCGCAGAAAACAAAGAGCTGCACGCTGGTCCTCCTGCAGGTGACAACGGAAGGAGAGACCCCTGAGCTGTGCGGCTCTGGACAGCGCTCAGACACAGGGACTGTGGTGGGCGCTGTGCGAGCTGTCTGTGTGCTCTTCTCTTCCACATCCAGTTCACAGAACAGGCCACCTGCTTATTGCAGGGCTAAAGTCACCGACATCGAGGCCACCGGAGCCTGACATGTGAGTTGTCTGTCCCTTCCCACTGCCTCCGTGTTTCGGGGCAGGGCAGCCACTCTGGCCGCAGGGCTGTTGGTCCTTCTGCTAAAGACCTAGTCCAAGTTCCAGAAGCTCGGGACTCTCGCAGCTGTCATCTCAGGCCTCCTCTAAGCTGCTCTGGCGTTTCTCACGTGTGGGCAGCTGGAGGAAGCTCCGGGCAGGCAGTGGCGCTTCGCCCTGCCCCAGGGCTCTGGGCCTTTGCAACTCCCCATCAGCCATCGAGTTGTAGTGACATCACCTCCTCCAAGAGGCCTTCCCTGACTTGTGCAAAGGTTCTTCCCATATTCTTTCAGGAGCAGCAAGTTTTTCACAAATAATGTAGGCTTTACAGATCACATATGGTCTCTGCTGTATATTGTTCTTCGTTTAACTGATGGTTTATCTTATACAACCCTTTAGAAATGTAAACAACATTCTTCGCTAATTGACTGTACCAAAGCCAGCTAGCTAAGATTTAGTCTGCAGGCTGCAGTTTGCTGAGCAAGTTGTTCAAATCACCATTAAAATGCTTTGCACATTGATTTTTTAGCTCCTACAGGACAGGGACTGAACTTTATGCCTCAACACCTGACACGATGCTAGGGGCATGAGCTAGTGATGCGGGATAAAAGACCTCGGACATGTCCCAATTAACTCTTTCAGCATTATTCTTTTCTAGACACCTCCATCTCTCAAGTTAAATAAATCACCGCCCCACGACTTTCCAAGTCATCCATTATATGGTCACGTCTCAGAGGTACACAGCTCCCAGTGAAGTCAATGGCTCTCACTCATCAAGCCTCATATGCAGCAGGTCTACTTAGAATCCCAAGGACACAGAAGTAAAGCTGACATCATGTGTGTGTTGTGTGTATGTGTGCATGCATACAAATGTGTATGCATGCATACAAGCCTGTGCATGTGTGCTCATACATGTGATTCAAGTGCACACCACTCGACCTCTGTGTAGCCAGGGTCTCACTGCCATGCCTTCTGTGGTCCCTGCTCTCCAGCGGGATCACGTGGGTAAAGCCTGACCACTGCTCTGGAGGCGGGAATTCACTTGAACAATCATATAATTGCATTTTCAGCACCATTAGGTACCTAATTACATGACTAACTGTCCTCGATCAGGCTCACGTGTAAATAATGATGATTTAATTAGCCACGCTCTGTTATTGGATTTCCAGAAGGCTCATCAGTTGGCAAACAGGAGGCAGAAAATGTTTTCGCCTTCCTTCAAGTTTGACAGGCAGGCTCCGCAGAGCCCCGTGTCCTGCTGCGAGGCCAGCGTGGTGGTGAGGGAGCGGAGGGTTCGGAGCCTCCGGGAGCCCAGAACGTTTGCATCCTGAAGACACAGCAGCAGGGCATGCCCAGGGGAGGCCGTGACCCGAGACAATGGCACCTCCTGTTTAGGAAGGACGGGAAGGCCTGGCCGGGAGGAGAGCCACCGGGCAAGGAGCCAGAGCGGGGCCACAGGGATGCTGCCGTCTCCCCC